TTAGTAGGTGAGTGTACAGTCACCAGCACTTGCTACTAATCACCTCGTTTTTGTTCAGCAGTTTGAAGACCGATCAATTCTCAGTCGAGCAAGATGCGTCAAACGATCGGTTTGGTCCTCTGATTTTCGAATATCTAACTTGTTTTTGTATATTCGAAGCATTTTGGGATGAGGAGCCAAAAAACCTCTTTTCTGCCCTAAAGTGTGCCCCAAGAAGTCGTAGAACCTAGCCCCGCCTCTGATCCACAGACCACTAGTGCCATCTCTTGTCAGCCGAACAAACCGCAGAAGTAAATAATGTCACGTGACTTTTGCACACGCTACAATTACTACGCAGCTGTAGTGGGGGAAGCGGGGCGGAGGCGTGGAGAGGGACGCGATCGGTCGGCTGGGGTCAGGTCGCCGAGGTCAGAGGTCATCCGCTGGAGGGTATTTGGGCGGTTGAGCCGTGTGGGCTTCGGCCTGCGGAGTGGGGAGCGCCTGGACCTGTCTGGAAACAAGTTCTACAACGCTGTGGCAGTCGAGAATATTGTGAGGAAAGGAGAGAGAGGGAGAGAGAGGGAGAGAGAAAGAGGGAGAGAGAGGGAGGGAGAGAGGGAGAGAGAGAGGGGGGAGAGAGAGGGAGAGAGAGATAGAGAGAGAGAGAGGGAGAGAGATAGAGAGAGAGAGGGAGAGAGATAGAGATAGAGAGGGAGAGAGAGGGAGAGAGGGAGAAATAGAGAGAGGGAGAGAGAGAGAGAGGGAGAGAGATAGAGAGAGAGAGAGGGAGAAAGATAGAGAGAGAGGGAGAGATATAGAGATGGAGAGGGAGAGAGAGAGGGACAGAGGGAGAGATAGAGAGGGAGGGAGAGAGAGAGAGAGAGAGGGAGGGAGGGAGAGAGAGAGAGAGAGAGAGAGAGAGAGAGAGAGAGAGAGAGAGAGAGAGAGAGAGAGAGAGAGAGAGAGAGAGAGAGAGGAAGAGATAGAGAGCGAGAGGTAGACAGATAGAGAGAGAGGGAGAGACCTATTTTACATCCTAGGTCATCTAATGTCAGGAAAGATCATGAGCGATTGTTTATACTGCAATTTTAAATGCATACGCTAGATTCGTGTTCAAAGCATATTCTAAGCTCTAGATCCAATGTATAAAAAGGCATATGAAAAGACATCTAATGTGCTCATATCATCATTACAGATCAGCTGATGAGCAGCATGGTTCTTTCACGAAAAGTGCGCCTCGGATGTGAAAAAATAAGACGTGAAATTGTAATAACACACTTAACCAAAATTTATTGAAGGATTCGAATTGAGATGGGTGCAAAATGATCTTTTTTTATAAATTTAGTCCGAACCTTTTGATGGGAAGGATTCACAAGGACAGAGCCACCGCTAAGCGAACCTTTTTGCGATGACCCTGCCCTCTACCCTCCGATCGCGCAATTCCGTTTCTATGGCAGAATTTAGAGTCCAAAGTTTAACGTGCGCACAAAGCCGCGCACGGCCGGTCCCCTCGCTGACTTCGCCTGGCTACGGCCTGCCACCAACCGCAACCATACCTGTCAGGAGGCCCATAAATGTCGAGCGCCCGTCGCGCTTCGAACCCGGACTGTCATAACCGGGAACGCGTGCTCTCACCACGCGGAGTCCAACGCTCTAACCAACTGAGCTACGGGACCGGCTTTAGGTTAGATCTGACCCAAGATCTAACCTAAAAACGACCCAAAGCCTTCCTTCATTGTCCGAAAACCGCCGACAGCTGATAGCTCAATGACACTAGAGCCGTGCATAAGGAGGCGTGAAAACACTCTCCTCATCTCGATCTATTACAAGAGGACCATGTCATGGCTTGAGAAAGGTGTTCTCAAAATAAATGACACAGTATGAGTGAATAAATAATCCGCGCCTCCTTGGGCTATTGGCGGACTCTACCACCTGATGGGGTGGTGCAGCCGTTTCGCCCTCCACCTGAGATCTCGGAAAGTTACCGATCGATTTTGAAAATTCAAAGAGCGTTCGATAGCCCCACCAGGGAACTACCTTGTTACCAGGTTTCGTTGACCTAGGTGCAACCCATGACGTCACAAGTCAGGTCAAAGGTAGCGTTTTTCACCGATTTAGTCTAAGGAATGCGTTACAGTCAGTTAACACATCAAATAAAAGGCATGCTATCGAAAAACATCGATGGAGCGTTGGTTGCCTAATACATATGTTGCCTAAAGTGGTCACTGATGCCAGGTCAGGTCACAGAGGTCAGGTCACTAGGGGTCAAAATATGAACCCAACTATGCTAGGGTCGTGTGATGTGATACATGTCCCCCCCCCCCCCCAACGAGGCTCGAGGGCGAGGCTTTCAGTTGCTGCTCTCACAGAACTCTTGGTTATATTACAACGCAGTGGAATTGCAAGTGGCGATATAAGCTTCCTGCCAGCGCCGGACCAGAGTTCAAACATTCAGGCTGAATTTTAACATTAAACTTTACAATTTTCAAACCGTTGAGCTTTTTAGAAGCTGCATGAACTGTTCAGCTCCTTTTTTGGTCCATCACAGCGGGCTTGTATGTCATTTGTCAACCAAAATCGAATTAATTTTTTTATTGGGTCTGGTTACCTCGCCTACTTCTTGACTGAATCGTTTATTAGCTTTTGATTGGGCACTGCCCACGTTGTCTGTCTATGACACGAGTAGAGGCTGCTGACATCGTTTGTCGCGATTAGATAATAATACCAAATACCAATCCAAGTCCCAGTGGCTGCTCGATCGCAATTTTCCTGGGCCCTGGCCCACCTCTCCAGCCAGGCTAGACTGCTCGGCACAGCCGTCGCCTCAGTGCCTCGGGCGGTGACCCGTTCAAAGGGGCTCACAATTCGTATGGTGCCGTGGCTCTCAAACCAACACAGAGCAGTGAGACGCACAGGCTCACTTTCCATATAAGGCGAACGGCTGATTCTGGCGGCGGGGCTTCATTCATGCTAAGGCGCCCAATCACAGCGCCGCATTTCAGTTAGTGTCGGGCGCAAAAGCTACTATGCTCCGCCCCTCCATCACGTGACCCTGCCCTCACGTGGCCTCAGTCACGTGGTATTTCCACTTCTTGGCGCATGGCGGCGCTAGTCTCGCAGGGGCGGAGGTAGCTTGCTCCCCCGCCGTCCGGGGGTGATGGGTAGCAACTGCTGGTGACTGTACAAGGCCCATTTTCAAATGAAGGGAACGAATTTCTTCAACACCAAGAGGCCGCGGGGGTTGCAACCTAGATAGATAGTGGTTTCTGAACCTCGCCGCAAACTTGGCTATCTCAACTCAAACCCCATGTTAAAAGTGGGATAGTCCCTTTAACTCGACTGCAGGCCGCGCCAGTCCCGACCCGCCCGCTGTTAGGGGCAGGCCGCGGCGGGCTACAATGACACGGCCGTGACGGCTGTCACAGTGACGTGCCGCCCCTCCAGGCCAGCTGGGACAGCTCACCACCGTCCCACCGCCGTCCCATCACTATCCCCCCGAGTCGCCCCACCACCGTCCCATCGCCGACCCGACCAGCTGGGACAGCTCACCGCCGTCCCATCACTGTCCCATCCGAGTCGTCCCACCACCGTCCCATCCACCGCCCCGACCAGCTGGGACAGCTCACCGCCGTCCCATCACCGTCCCATCACCGCCCCACCGCCGCCCCGACCAGTGTCGACTCGACTGCCCCAGTGTCGCCCTGGTGGGCCGATATGCGCCACGTGGGCTCACTGTAGGTCACCTGATTATCAGGACAGGTTAAATAGACGACGACGCCGGTAATCACTGCATGATGACTTCGCTGAAGGCGGCCCAAATTTTCAAATGAGCTTTCAATCGTGAATTTATGGCTTTCATTGAAATGCTGTACGCCAAATGCATGCCACATACACGTCAAAACAAATGTTATTTTGCAAAATGTAACGACAAGAGATGGCTCGATGGCTCGTTTGGTTTTTACAGTTAGAGTCCATAAAGTCTGGTTCAAACCGTCTGGGCTCACACGGCCAGAGTCCATACGGTTCGAGTCCAATACAGTCTGAATCCATGCAGTCTGTCTCCATACAGACTCGGTTCATACAGGCTTGCTGCATATAAACTCGACCCATACAATCTGGTCGATAGAGTCTGATCCATACAGTCCAGTCCATACATAGTCTCGGCCCATGCAGACCGTCCATTACTCCATACAGACTCGGTCCATGCATACAGACTGGGCTCGTACGATCTGCGTTTGATACGATCTGTGCGCAGCGTGCATACGGTCTGGGGACCATACGGTCTGGAGACCGTGCGGTCCGGAGACCGTGCGGCCCGCGAGGTCGGATGGTCTCCCCTCACGCCACGGCTCCGCCGCATGGTTTCCGCAGCGTGTCGTCTCACTAACGGAGCCGCATACAGAGCCAGTCACCCGGCCATCCGACGCGGTACCTATATGTAGTTTCCCGAACACCCGCTGGCACAGCCGCTAAAACCCATCTTACGGTATTTGGTCGCGGCCGAAGGGTGCCGGAAGTGGAACTGGCAACATACGCAATCTGGAGCGCGCAGCGAGACGAGACGCTATTCACCAGGCGCTGAACGTGTCACGGAAATCACCTAGTTATTCACTACCGGTCCACCCCTAAAATACGGGCGGAGAATGTATGTAAGAGCAGGCTGGGTACCTATTATTGACCGATCTTAAAACTTCATACATGGTCATTCAAGATACCAATAGCTATGTACATTGCACATACATATATTTGTGTAAAATATTTCAATTGACCTTTTTACAGTCCTGTTTAGGGTCCTGTAAGTGTAAGCTACATATAGGCATTCATTTCTCTCGCGAGATATGGTTTGATGTTAAAGTCGGTAGTTGCAGGGGCAAGAAATTTCCGTGAGATGAGTCGACTCCTGAACGATAATGAACACAAATTATCAGAACATCACTTTCGAAAGGGCTCCACGCCGCGCCCTTTAACGACAACAGAACAGGCATGTGACCCCATGGGCGACGTTGTTGGCAGGCACTCACCAATGACCAGGAGCAGCAGTGACGTCCACAGGGCGCCGACGGCTGTTCTAAGCGGCGCCATCTCCGAACTGTCCTCTCCCACCGGCGGACAGGCCGAGCGTCCAGTGTCCGCAGGATGTCCGCACCGTGTCCGCTGGGTGTCCGCTGGGCAGCGCGCCGCTCCAACCCCGCTCACCTCGGGTCGTCGTTCAGCGGAGCGCCGCGGGTGACTGTGCCGGCGTCACCGGCGGCGGCGGACGTCATCCGACCGGCCGCAGCCCGCGGCTACGCCCGGCTGACCCCGCCGCGCCCGGCGCGCCGCGTGCAACAAGGGCGCGCGCCGGCCGGCGGCGGCCACCAGCCGTGCCCCTCTGCGCCGGCCGGCCAGCGCCGGAAGGGGTAGGTCGTGTCCGGCAGCCCCGGCCAGCGCGGCGTCCGCGAATGGCTTTGTTTGGATGCACCGGTCTGTCGTCGTCCGCATACAGGGGTCATGGCGGCTCAGCGGGCCGTGGCGATGGATTACATATCGTGGCCTTGATGTTCGACTTTACCAGACATCACATGTGGAGAGACGGCAGGTGCTGAAAGCCTGAAAGACTTTGATGGCACGCGCACGGTCCAACAGGCCTAAGGTCTTCCGAAACACCCGTGATCTCTGCCACACTCAGCTAAACTCTCGAGGCTTGGCAGTTGAACTCAGATTGCATCTGAGCACACATTTGGTCTCAGACCTAAGCGAAAGAGCTTAAACGTACTATTGAATGTTCTCGCTCTTTTTTTTCTCACAGGCCATGAGCCGATTTGTTAACCCTCGCATGTGTAGGGGGGTCGGATGGACCCCCCATGGTTTTTCGCGAATACCTCGCGTAAAAAGCGGCCAATCGCAACGAAACTTTCAGTACCTTCGTATTGATCAATTTTACACCTACCCTGAAAATTTTATGACCCTGACCCAAATGACCTTTGACCTGTGACCTCTGTTCCGAAACCATGTTTGGCCGGAATCGCGATTCCGCGTATGTCGGCTTGCATTAGCCGCGCGTTTGCAAGCTTTTCATGGTTTCAAACGTTCAAACATGTGATTTGCTGTTGCTCCCATGCATAAGGGTAGGTGTCAAGGTCACTTGAAGGTCAGGTCAGGTCATTGACCTTTGATGACCTTTGGTGACCTCGACTCACATTTTCGAGTTTTACATGTTTCTAGGCTAGTTTTTGGAGCTGAATTCGAATTTAGCAACCATTTGAACATTTACGAAGTAGTTTTGGTGACTTCATAACATGTTACGAAGCTGTCAGAGACGGTTGATACCTACTACGAATACCCGGCAAAACCCTTACTGGTTGACCTGACCTGACCTGACCCGACCTGGTCTAAATGCTTATAGATTTCATCTGTGATCAAGACTAACACGATATTCGTGAACAGCACCCTGAAAAACCCCTTAGCAGCCACACTTTACGACTCTCTAACAGGTCCCGATTTTCCCGACTTTGGGTCATTGACCTGACCTGCAAGGTCAACCAATGACCTAGGACCTTAAAATTGGGTGACATCGGCTTGCTCTCGTCACGGGCAACACGCTCGTTTTTTCCGCGAAGCCTCGATCAGGGACCAAACGGCAAGGGGGGGTCCAACCGACCCCCCCCCCTACACATTAGAAGCTGGCAAACGCCGCACAAATGCGATGGTTAAAGAATGTCAAAATCAAGAAAATTTGGCCAATGGTGACATTCGGGAACCCCATGCTTGGAACTGACCAGAAAGGTAAAATACAGGATACTTTCTTCGTATTTTTCAATGCTCTTTCGAGCTCTCCTTTCTGCGTGTCGTTACGTGGCCAAGAAGGTGAGTTAGAGGGGGCGTGAAAACTTGCCACTTTTCGGATCGATATGATCCAAATGAACCACAACCTGGCACATGTTTAAACGGCAGAATGCAACGTCTTTTTTTTTTGCAAATTTACGGTCGATATTAGCGAGCGAAGACGGCCGGCCCACAAGTGTCAACTGGCCCCTGTCCTGGTTCTCATGTCCACGTGTTGTGTGTCATAGGGGCTGAGACGGGACGGGGGAAGTCTTGGACGCGACCCATCCGGTGCGAGACCTCGCCGGTGACGACGTGACCGACGCAGCCTGACGAGAGCGACAAAGTGCGCTGCATTTGTGTCAGCTGTATTTTGCTCATTTTAACCGTTTGCGCATCAATCTAGAAATCAAAACAGACTTTGATGCGTAGATGAACTATATCTTTATTTGGTCCTCCGTGTGACGAACTGATTGATCGAGAACGAGTACGCACGAGCGAAGCGGTAAATGAGGGCGAAAACAGGGCTAACAGTCGACCTACCACAGTCTCAAAAATATGATATCTGTTTTACTCAGCATGTGTTGTAAGTACCCATCTACCCATCATTGTAAGTACCCATATGGGAAAGTTAGGTACTGAAAGACTGATATTAGTGACATCGGAATATCTACTTCAGAATAAATTACGGGTCACGGGCACCGGCACAAGCCGATAACTATGTTACCTAAATTGTTGCCCTATGCAACAGCGGCATCATAAACAAAAAGGACATTACGAAAATGCTGATAAAAGTCAAATACCGAGGCTGTTTTATAGTCAAAAGATGCTGCACCGATATTGACTGAAACAAAACATGCTAGACTGCTAGAATATTGTCTGACATGACACTCTCATGACGCCAAGAAACAGTCTTTACACATTCCCTAATGTGCAAGGTATTATTGCAGCAAAGGTCGCTCAGCTGTTCTACTAAAGGTTCAAGTAAGTACATAAACCCGAAATAAAAAGTGTTTAACTCCAGCACAAAAGTGCAACAAAAGAAGCATATCAAAAATCAAAATATGACGATGTCGCGGTGGCTGACTCCGGCCTGCCGGAGGTAGCTGCGGACGGCCTCCACCAGGCCCTGAGGGCCGCAGACCAGGTATCTGGTGCCGGTGCCGGGCTGCCGGGCGGCGGCCAGCACGTCACGCCGCTGGATCCGCCGGCGGGTGACCGTCTCGCCGGGCCACGGCCGCTCGCCGTCCTCCTCCGGCCCGGTCACGAACAGCTCGTAGGTGATGCGGCCGGAGCGCGCCCAGCGGGCCAGCCGGCGGCGCGGGAACACCTCCTGCAGCCGGCGGACGGACAGCAGCAGCGTCAGCCGCGGCGCGGCCGGCCGCGCCACCGCCTCCGCCATCAGGCCGACCAGCGGCGCCACACCGGTGCCGGCGGCGAGCAGCACCAGTCGCCGGTCGGTCGGCCGCGGCCGGTAGCCGCCGAAAGGACCGCTCCAGAGCGCCGTCTGGCCCACCCGCCAGCGGCGCACACACGCTCGACATGGCGCCGGACGGGTACAGACGGATGTACACCTCGAAGTAGCCGACGGCCCGCGGGTCCGAGACGGGTCCGTAGGCGCGCGTGACGGCGCGTCCGTCGGCGTCGGCGGCCCTCAGCAGCAGGTGGGAGCCGAGCGGGTGTCTCAGCGCGGCGCCGGCCGGCAGCTTGAACCGATAGACGGCCGCCGAGTCGGACACGGCCGTCACAGGCCACCAGCGGCAGCGCCGTGAAACAGTGGGGCAGCAGCGCGGTGTGCGCTGCCGCCGCCGGGCCCGGAGCCGTTCCGGGCCCGGCGGCGGCGGCGGACTCCCCCCAGGGCTGGGCGGCGCAGAGGGCGGCCGGACCCCGCCGGCACCAGCCGCCAGCCGAGCCACTGGAAAACGGACTCCGGATCGTCAGCGAACGCCTCACCTGCGACAGAAAGTAGCACGGCCAGTCATCGCTTAGAGAATCTAACAACGATGTTATGGTGATCGGCTGTGTTGCTGTTCATTGTTCAATGATCTTGACATACTTTTTACTTTTTACACGGTCAGTGGTGATAATTGAATGTCATAAAATGAATGATTCCTCCGGAGTGTCTTCCCCACTGACCTGAGACTCCGGAGTGATTTCCCCACTGACCTGAGACACCGGAGTGTCTCCCCACTGACCTGAGACTCCGGAGTGTCTCCCCACTGACCTGAGACTCCGGAGTGTCTCCCCACTGACCTGAGACACCAGAGTGTCTCCCCACTGACCTGAGGCTCCGACAGGCGCCTCAGCCACTCCCGAGCACCCCGATGACGTCACGGTCAGCGCGGTCAGACCGGCCACGACTAGCAGCGTCAGAGTGGGCGGCGGCGGGGCCCGGCGAGCTGTCATTGCGCTCAGCGGGCCGACGGCTACCGGGTGCCGTCAGACGAGCAGCTCGGGCCGTGCACACACCCATCTGCTGAATAACGGGAGCAGCTGTCAGACCAACTCCGTCACTCCGAACAGCGGCGTCAGCCCAATACGGCAACACGTGAGTCAGCTAAATGTAACAATTCGACTCGAACCGCGCTGGCAGGGGAAGGGGGGTGACGTTCTCCTTGACAAATGTTTTCGATAGCTCTGAGCACTTTTGTGACGTATTCAGGAGCAAAAATCATGTACCTGCCCGCTAAAAACGCCACATGGTCGCAATGGCGTATCCAGGGGGGAGGCCAAGAGGCCATGGCCTCCCCCTTTGGGATCAGACATGCAAGTGGGCCCTTTGGGTCACTTGAGTGCAGTGACGTACCCAAGGGGGCCACGGGAGCCCCTGAGGTCCAAGGGTAACTCAGGGGAACCAGCGTGACGAAGGCGTTATGGGTCTCCCTGCACCAGTACTACAGAATGTCTTTTACTCGAAAAAAACAATATCAAAGAGCGATATCTATCACAGTCACAAACACAGAGGGCCCCTAACTACCTGAGAGCCCTGGGTACCTGAGGGGCCCCCTGGTTACCTGAGGAGCCCTGGTTATCTGACGAGCCCCTAGTTACCTGAGGGCCCCCTGATTATCTGAGGGGCCCCTGGTTGCCCGAGAGGTTCCTGGTTGTCTAAGGGACCCCTGGCTACCCAAGGAGCCCCTGGTCACCTGAGGGGTCCCTGGTTATCTGAAGGGCCCTGGTTACCTGAGGGCCCCTGGTCACGGGACCCCTGTTTACCTGAGGGGCCCCTGGTTACCTGAGGGACCCCTGGTTATCTGAAGGACTCCTGGTAAAGGACCCCTGGTTACGATGGCCCCTGGTTACCTGAGGGGCCCCTGGTTACCCGAGGGGCCTCCGGTTACCTGAGGGACCTCTGGTTATCTGAGTGTCCCCTAGTTACCCAAGGGGCCCCTGATCCCCTGGATGGCCCCTGGCCAGTCATCTGAAGAAGGTCACCTGAAGGGCCCATGTTTACCCGGGGAGTACCTGGTTATCTGAAGGGATTCTGCTGTCACATGAAGGCCCTTAGTTGTCCGTGGAGTCCCTGGTATAACCGGCCTTTGATTATCAGAGGGTCTCCTGGTCACGGTAACCTGGTGGGCCCCTGATCAATTGAAAAGCCTCTGCAGTCACCTGAGAGGCCCCTGATTGCCTTAACGGCCCCTGATCACTTGGATTCAATGGCATAGCCAGGGGGCGAGGGACACGTGTCCGTTATGTGGTTTAGGGTCCCCTCGGGCCCGAGGGGCCCTACGGTGCCAATTGACATCAGAGGGTCCGCGCTGGCCACGCTTCAACTGGAAAGGAGTGAAAGGACACCACGGGGCTTTTGAGAACACGTCATGGGCTCTTATGTAGCCACACTTATCTCCAGAAGGGCCCCAACCCAGGTTCTGAAGGACCTTGCCGGCCTCTGACTGAGGGCCCTTACCGACCAATGAGGGATCAGCTGTAAGGGCCCCACACCTGTTTGTTATTCCCCCACGGCCCACACCAGTATTTCTGAGGGCCCTTACAATGGCGACTGGGAGGGCCCTCACCGGCCACCGCCACCTCTAAGGGTCCCACACCAGCGCCTCTTAACGGCCTACATCGGCGGCTCTGAAGGCCCGCTCACCGGCGCCTCCGAGGGCCCTATACCAGCGCATCTAACGGCCACTTACCAGCGACTCTGAGGGCCTCTTACCGGCATCTCTGAGGTTCCCTTGCCGGCCTATGAAGGGCCACTAGTAACTTTCAGGGTCCCATACATGCCTATGACAGCCCCTACCAACGTCTCTAAGCCCTAAGGCCCCCACAACGGCGCCTGTGTGGACCCCGCACCAGCGCATCTGACGGCCTTTCATAGACACGTCTGAGGGACCAACACCGGTGACTCTGAGCGGCTCGCTCGCTTCGTTTCTTCAGTGGCAAAGAACCGCACCTGTGCGTGGGTTAAGTATGCTACCACTGGGCCCCTAAGGTAAGGGTGGGGCCCCCTTGAGCAGGTTTGGCCTCCCCCTTTTCAAGATCCTGGATACGCCACTGCATGGTCGATATTCATACACCATTGCAAATCAAATTTCATTGTCTTTATAGGAATTAATTTTGTCTCAAAACATTTTGCAAAGTGGGATGCAAGAGCTATGGAAAAGCGCTTGGTATAAGGCAATTTAAGACAATTATTTCTTTTCAACATATGGTTAGCTTGTTTACATCGTTTTCATGGCATGCGGTAAAATATACCTCCATGCTATAAAACTGTAGTAACGCCTAGCGGTAACAGTACCTACAACATGGTTCAGAAATCTGCGGTACAGTATAACTTCAGGCGCAAGACGTAGTGACATCGAACGGCAATGGTGTAACAGGAGATTTGCGGTACAGCATAACTTCAGGCGCAAACAGTCATGACATCTAGCGGCAGCGGTATAACATAGGCTTGAAGATGTGCGGTACAGCATAACTTCAGGCGCAAACAGTCGTGACATCTAGCGGCAGCGGTATAACATAGGCTTGGAGATGTGCGGTACAGCATAACTTCAGGCGCAACAGTGGTGGCATCTAGCGGCAGCGATATAACATAGACTTGGAGATGTGCGGTACAGCATAACCACGGATCACCTAATGATCCGTAATAATGATCCCACCTATGTGATCCGTGGCATAACTTCAGGCGCAAACAGTCCTGACATCTAGCGGCAGCGGTATAACATAGGCTTGGAGACGTGCGGTACAGCATAACTTCAGGCAGACGATCCGCTCCAGACCGTTTTCACCCGGTTTTCTACCGCTACCGTGACGCCCTTGACGTCACACATGACACAGCGATATACCCACCGTGACGTGCGCCGTGACGGTCGCTTCTGTTTGTTGCTGCCGGCTAAATGCGGATACGGAGAGATTGCAATCGGAAGAACAAGTCAGGCAGGTTATGTCTCTGAATTCATAACCTAAAGCTCCAGACAAAAGCCGTAGGTATAAGTCATGCGAGGCAGTGCCGGCGCAAGGCTGATGTAAAGCCTGCCTGTCTTTGACTTTGTGTCTGGACTCGTGTTGGCTATCTTTTAGCCGCCGGCGCAGTACCTTTATCCCAAGAACGGTTTGTATAACACAGATAGACGGCCGGCTATGCTAAGTGCCACAAAAGGTGCGATAGGCTTCATTTGCCCAGCATGTCATGACGCTGTGACACTTGTTGAATGTTGGTGTCATCAATTTTCTGCTGGGGGTGTGTGGGGGGGGGGGGGGTAATTTTAGTCAACGACCTTTGCCAAATTGTATGGACTTTGACTGAAGGGCAAGTGTCTGATAGACCGACTGCTGGGTATTTGGCTATGGCATATGCAAAATGCAAGCAAGAATGTCCACTTTTGCAATTTGACGTGCAGAGCTAAGGCCTAAGTATGTCTATGAGCTGCTTATAACGGTCAGAGATAGGCACCCCGGTGTTGGAAGGCGACTTTCCTGCACGGTCTTGACTCCGTTATATGATCAGGACGTGGACTGCCGGGCCGGTCGGCGGCTGCAGTCTGCGGCGGACTGTCGGATACACACGGCTCCCTCCGGCTGCTGCCGGGGTGTGCCGGCTGTCCCACTGAGGCACGCCATGTCGCTCTGACCACCTGGATACAGAGGAATACGGACGGGACGCGGCGACGGCGGCACGCGAAACCGCGAAACCGGAAGGCCGCACCGCGTCGTGGGATGGCGGGTGTTGGACATCAGCTGGACGGAATAACTAGCTTTCTTTGATTTTTGTTGACGGATCGCAATTCATAAGAACTCAGAAATCAGTAAGTGATCTTGCTAAAGCCACCGCCCATCAGCTGCTGCAGCTCACCTGTGAACTAACCCGTCTTCAGGCGCAAACAGTGCTGACATCTAGCGGCAGCGGTATAACATAGGCTTGGAGATGTGCGGTACAGCATAACTTCAGGCGCAAACAGTCGTGACATCTAGCGGCAGCGGTATAACATAGGCTTGGAGATGTGCGGTGCAGCATAATTTCAGGTGCGTGTTATAGTGATTTCTTTAGCGGCAGCTTCATGCATGTGAACTTTGATACCACATAAGTAAGGCGTAAGCCCTAACTGCAGCCGTCATGACGTCTCACACAGAACACGCTCTCTCACAGCGGCAGGACTCTCAGGCTTTGGCTCTCGCCCAGGGCTTCGACTAGGCAACCGTCCAAGCGGCCACCGGCGCCCCTGCCGGCCCGCCCAGTCCTTCAGAGATAGGCCGCGGCTGATTCCAGTCTTCCTGGCTCTACCCGTTTACTCTTCGTCAGACTCGAAGCGATTTCAGTCCGGGTCCGGGGGTGGCCGTGGCGCTACACCAGCGCCCCTGGCGGCCGAGACACTAGTAGTGTCCTCTCGGCGAGAGAGAGAGAGAGAGAGAGAGAGAGAGAGAGAGAGAGAGAGAGAGAGAGAGAGAGGGGGCTCAGCTCTTGACACCCAGGCTCAGCAGCTACTACTACTACCTACTAGCGGCCGGCTCGGCTCCTGACGACACTTGTTCACCT